TAGCACACAGATACATACACACACACACACATATACACCCAGCACACAGGCACACATGTAGACACATACACAGACACACACCTAGCACACAGATACATACACAGACACACATACCCAGCACACAGGCGCACACACACACCTAGCACACACACACACAGATACATCGACACACACAGACATTACACCTAGCACACAGACACACATACACACACACCCAGCATGCAGGCACACACACACACCTAGCAAACACACAGATACATAGACACACAGAGACACACACAGACACACACATCTAGCGTGCACACACACACACACATATACACCTAGCTGTTACCATTGTTATTATTAGCTGACTTGGAGCTCTGGCTCTGGTCTATCCTCTGCTCACACAGACACACACACACGTATACACCTAGCACACACACACACCCAGCACACAGGCACACACACAGCCTAGCACACAGACACACACATAGATACAGACACACACAGACACACACAGTATATAGGCATACACACAAACACATACACAGATACACACCTAGCACACAGACACAGACACACACCTAGCGCACACACACACCCCTAGCACAGACACATAGACACACATACACCCAGCACACACACACACATATAGACACACATACACCTAGTACACAGGCACATTCACACCCCCCACACACACACGGAGACACACACATAGCATACAGACACAGATACGTACACACACACACACACCTAGTACAGAAATATGCAAATACATACACAGACACACCCTCCCAGCACACACACACAGCACACAGACATACGTATACAGATACACACAGACACATACACACCCAGCACACAGACACACCAAGGTCTAACTGCTCTAAGAAGTCAGCCAGCTCCAAGTGCTCCCCTCCGAAGCCCCTCATCCCTCAAGTCTATGCCGCCACCCAACTCCAGGCAGCCTGAAAGTTCTCATTTTCCAGAGCACTAGTGCCGGAGATAGGCTGCCCTACTAGCCATGTGACCTGGGGCGAGTTACCTCCATCCCCTGTGCCTCAGTGTTCTCATCTGGAGTGGGCTGGGGATAATGATGGGCACTAACTCACAGGCATAATTTTTTTTTTCTTTTTTGAGACGGAGTCGCGTTCCATCGCCCAGGCTGGAGTGCAGTGACATGATTTGCACTCGCTGCAACCTCCACCTCCTGAGTTCAAGCAATTCTCCTGCCTTAGCCTCTCGAGTAGCTGGGACTGCAGGCGTGTGCCACCATGCCCAACTAATTTTGTATTTTTAGTAGAGATGGAGTTTCACCATGTATGTTGGCCAGGCTGGTCTTGAACTCCTGACCTCAAGTGATCCGCCCACCTTGGCCTCCCAAAGTGCTGGCATTATAGTCATGAGCCACCATGCTGGGTCTCACAGGCATAATTGTGAGGCTTAAATGAAATAGGGCATGCATGTGGCCCAACACAAGGTCAGCCGTTCAGGGTCCATGGGGGCCTCGCCCGCCTCACTGCTCCCGGAGGACACTCTAGGGTAGACTCAAGGACACGGGGAGGGGTATGCTGAGTGCTCCTGTGGCCCTGCCTCTCCACAGCTGCCTTGCGAAGACCAGATCATCCTCCTGAAGGGGTGCTGCATGGAGATCATGTCCCTGCGGGCGGCTGTCCGCTACGACCCTGAGAGTGACACCCTGACGCTGAGTGGGGAGATGGCCGTCAAGCGGGAGCAGCTCAAGAATGGCGGCCTGGGCGTAGTCTCCGACGCCATCTTTGAACTGGGCAAGTCACTCTCTGCCTTTAACCTGGATGACACGGAAGTGGCTCTGCTGCAGGCTGTGCTGCTAATGTCAACAGGTACCTGCTGATTGGCCGGGAGGGCTCAGAAGCTTCCAGGGGTCCCAGAGATTGGCTGGACCCTGGGCCTGTTGCTCAACTCCCTCCTGAATCTTCTTCCAAGTTACCTCTCTGTCACCTAGGCCATCCCCTGTCCCCTGTCCCTTGCTCTGTCACCCACCTACTTCTCACTTGTTCCCCTTGCCTCCCCATCCCTGTTCTGTGCATTTTCCTGTCTTTGTTTCCTTCCTCCTCTCTGCCCCCATCCTCTGTCACTTGCATTCCCCTTTGCTCCCCACTCCCCACTTTGTTCTCAACCACCTTCCATCCCCCATCCCTCCTCTGTCCCCCAGTCCCATCTCTTACCCCTCAGTCCCCTCCCTACCCCCATCAGCACCCTGCCTCTCTAACCACCAACCCCAGTCCTCCCCTCTCCAAGGCTCCTCTCTCTGCCCCAGCCCCCGGCCTGTCCCTCTGTCCTCCTTGCGTTGCTCCATCCCCCCAGCTCCCCCCTGGCCCTCTCCACTTCCCAGCTGCCTCCCTCTGCCTGCGCTTCTCCTGCCCATGTCCCTCAGGGGGAGCTTCTCCCCTCCCCTCCCCCATCCTCTCCGCTTCTATCTCCCCTCTAGTCCTTTCTTCCCCCGCCCCACGCCTCACCCTCCCCACCTCCACGCCTTCGGCCGACCCCATGCCCCTCACGCCCCTCTTCTCCCACAGACCGCTCGGGCCTGCTGTGTGTGGACAAGATAGAGAAGAGTCAGGAGGCGTACCTGCTGGCGTTCGAGCACTACGTCAACCACCGCAAACACAACATTCCGCACTTCTGGCCCAAGCTGCTGATGAAGGTGACTGACCTCCGCATGATCGGGGCCTGCCACGCCAGCCGCTTCCTCCACATGAAAGTCGAGTGCCCCACCGAACTCTTCCCCCCACTCTTCCTCGAGGTCTTTGAGGATCAGGAAGTCTAAAGCCTCAGGCGGCCAGAGGGTGTGCGGAGCTGGTGGGGAGGAGCCTGGAGAGAAGGGGCAGAGCTGGGGGCTGAGGGAGACCCCCCCACACCCCTTCTCTCCTTCCTCTCGTCCTTGGATAGATTCAGCTCCCACACACACACCCGCACTGCCCAGGTCCCTCCTCAGACCTCCAGCCCTGGGACAGGGCAAACAAATGAACTTGCTATGGAAAGGACAGTGTGGGAGGCTGGGGGAGCCGTGTCCTGCAGTTCCCAGGACCCCGTCCTCTCAGAAGGTAGGAGAAGGGTGGGAGGACTGAGAGGAGACAAGCCACCTTGACTGTAGGGGAAGGAGGAATGTGGGCTGGGGGAAGGTGCCCTCAACTCACGCCCTACACACACAAGAGAGAGCCCCCACCCAGTTCCTTGGCCTAGGTCTCCCCTCCAGGCTGAGGGCCTCTCTACTTCCCCAGATGCCTGGGTGCAAAGAACCGCTTGGCTTGGCTCCTCCCCTGGAGGTTAAAATTTATAGTCATTCTAACTGCACTTTGGAAACCAAGCAAGGGGAGAAGACAAATGAAGAAAAACTAGACAGAGAGAAAAATACGAAAAAGAGAGAGCGAGCGATAGAGAGAGATGATATTAAGTTATTAACTGAGGCTGACCAGAGGGGAGAGACCCCCCCCTTTACCACCCCATGCACTTTGTGAGCTGCCCTCCTTCCCCCACATCAGAGAGGAATGCCCCCACACCAGAGCCCCAAGGGTAGGGCTGCCGATCAGAGCTGTGAGTTAACACAACAGGGTCCTGGCCACCCCCCTTGCCGTACCCCACCCTCTGTGCCCCTTTGGCACCCCCCAACCCTAGTATGTCCTCGCTTTCTGCCACTCGTGCCCGCTGAGTTCCATCTACCTCTCACGCTGGATGCCAGCTGGCCCCTCACCAGCCTGCCCTGCTGCCCACACAGCTCCCCTTTAAGTGCCCAGCCCTAGGGGCCTCTCCCCATCCACCTCCTCCTTCCACACCTTGGCACCCACCCAGGAAAAACTGTGGCTCCAGCTCCTACCCTCCTCATATCCTGCAGTATTAGCTAGAAACCGGATGCTGCTGCATTGGGTGGTGGTGGGGAGGGCAGGAGGGCTGTGCGTGAGCGTCTCCCAGAACCCTCCACCCTTTTAGCACTCTGTTTCCCTGTTTCCCATCTGTCTTCTGGGCTCTCTCTAACCTCTGCCCTCTCCCCTGCTCCTACTCACTGCACTAACTCTGGGCGGGCAGGCATCGGAATGGGGGTGTTTAGATAAGTGACACTTAGTTGGGGCCCCATGGGAGGGGGTGGTCGGTGCTCCTTTTTCTTTAAAGCTCTTTTGGCCAGCTGCCCCTCTGCCCCAGGACCCCTTCCCCTCTTCTTTTCTCTAATTCAGGGACTTTGGCTTGAGCCCCTCTCACCCTCCTGGTGAGGGTGCTCTGTTGGTCTGCACTTGGGTGAGCTGCCCTCCTCCCCCTCCCTGTGGCTGCCGCCCACTCCTCAGGGGAGAGAGGGAGAGAGGAGGTGGTCCTCCCATGGGAGCAGGAGGTGGGGGTGGGACAGAGCAGACCGGAGGGCGCTGGGCTCAGGGCTGCATGTCGGCAGGGATGGATGGGTGGACACAGATGCCCCCGGAAGCCATGGGGATTGGGGTAGGGGGTGGGGGGAGGGGTGCCAGGGCTTCCTGCGCTTTGCACTATTGGGGCAAAAATGTCTTAAGCAGTGGGGAACCTGCCACCCCACCCTGACTCTCAGCCTGCCACAGCCCCCTACACACACACACACACACACACACACACACACGTACATGCACACACGGACATGGGAAGGCAATGCTATGCTGCCCGTTAGGGCACTGTCCTTTCTCCATCGGTCAGGTGTTCCAACAGGGGTGGAGGGCCTGGAGGAGCACCCACTGTCACCTGTGCATGTTCCTGTCCCACCCTGCTGGGGCCTCGGGCTGCCTGCGCTGTCTTTGTCTCTATCCTCTCTCTCTCCTGGAGTACTGATTCCTGTATTACTCCAGTTCCATGGGTAGGCCCTCTTGTACCTTCCTCCCACGCCTGGGGGCCCAGTGGAATTCCTGACCTGTCTGCTGTCTTCCCCATCCCTCCATCCCCACCCCAACCCCTCCATCCCCATTCTCAGCCATGGACACGGCAGAGAAAAGGCCTTGAAGAGCCTTGGCCTCTTATAGGCACTTGGGACTCCCCTACCCTCCCCAATCATATGAGCTGTGATTCCCCTCCCCCTCGGTGATGTGGGGTGTATGTGTGTGTTCCTCTGCGTGAATGTGTGAGTGAGTACACATGGTAGGGGAGGAGCCAGGGCGACTCAGGAGTGCCACGCACCTGCTCTAGAGCGGCAGCTGTCCCAGTCCCTGCTGTGGAAGTGGGGGACAGGGCCCTCTCCTGGGGGCCATTGGTGCTAATGAGGGGGATGGCCTTGATGTGGGTGCTCAGCATGCCTCCCCCAGTATTGGCCCGGGGCACTAGGGCAGGCAGGGTGGAGCAGCAGGTGCAGTATTGGTGGGAGGATGGGTTGCTGGGAATAGGACGAGGGGGCCAGGCCAGGACAAGGGGGTGCCAGAGCCATGACCACTACCCCGCCCCCACCACCCGCCTCTCCATCTCAGTATTGCCCCTCCCATCACTCATAACACACATACCTCATCCAGCCTCCTCCCTGCTCAGACTTGGGGAGGGTGGGGGAGGAGCCCCTGCCCCTTCTCCTGGTGGCGGGTCTGCAGAGCTGGGAGAGGGCAGGGCGTGTGACAGAGACACCGTCCATAAGGAGGACAGTAACTCCTGCCCTGGGAACTCCTGGGCAGCGGGGAGGGGGACACTGCCCAGAGGCGCTACTGAATGTATGAGAAGCTGGTGCTGGGCTGGGGGGAGGGGAGTTGTGGCCAGACACAGGGAAGGAGGTAGGTCTCTTCCCCAGGGAGGGGTGGGACCGGCAGGGGTGACTTGAGGGGCTCCTACTCCTGCCCCACATTGACAATCAGTATGTCTGTTATGTGCGATTTTTCACCCCGTTGTGTTTTGGGTCAGGATTTTAAAGAAAGATATTTTTATGGTAATTGTTGCTCGTCTATTTTACTATATATTTATGTAATAAATATATGATGAAAATAACCCCCTTGGGCACCCCCCTTAGACTTGTGTGCTGTTTCCCTATATCCTCCCATCTGCTGGCAGAGTACCCACCCCACAAACTGACCAGATGGAGAGGTGGCCCCCCCAGCCTTGGCAGTATTTCCACCCCACCCCCCAAACGAGCACACACCACAGAAGCCAGCTCAGCTGTGAACTCTTGGATTTGAGACAGGAACAGAACAAATCAGGGGGCCAGGGGAGGGCTGTGGGGGAGAGAGAGTGGTTTAAATAGGGGAGGGGGGGAAGTTCGGTGATGGGGGAGGGAGGCAGGTATTTACAAGAAGGCTCAGGGGGCCAGAGGCTCATCTTGGAATATTTTATAACAATATAAATAAGATTCTGGTTTGCTTTTCCTTTTCGTCTCGTAAAGGAGAGAGAAGTGCAGAGTTCGATTCTGTACAAGGGGGCAGCGGCAGAAGGCCGGCCGGGCGGGTCACTGGGCGTCCACCCGGAAGGACAGCAGCTTCTCGGAATGCATGTTGTTCAGGGTCCGCAGGTCCGGCAGCTTGAGCAGCAGCTTGGTGAAGCGGGAAGTCTCCAAGGGCCGGTTCTTCAGCACCAGAGCCCGAAGAGCCCGCAGCAGCGTCTCCTGGAGCTGCTCCACCGAAGCGGAATTCTCCATGCCCGAGCGGTCTGTGGGGAAGACGACAGCAGTGAGGCGGACTCCCCGAGCTCCTCTGACGAGGAACCGGAGGTCTGCGAGGACCTGGCAGGCAATGCAGCCTCTCCCTGAAGCCCCCCCGAGGGCCGATGGGTAAGGAGAAGGAGTGCTGTACCTTCTCACAGGCCTCTGCCCCGAGAGCAGATGCCTGAAAGCTGGGAGCGTGGGCTCAGCAGGGCTGGTCACCTCCCATCCTGTAAGACCACCTTCCCTTCCTCAACAGGCCGAACGTGGCCAGGCTCCCTTGCTTTTTGCTGTGTAGTTCCCTCTGCCTGGGATGCCCTTCCCCCTTTCTCTGCCTGGCAACATCTTACTTGTCCTTTGAGGCCCCAACTCAAGTGTCACCTCCTTCCCCAGCTCTCCCAGGCAGAAATAGTTGTCTGTGCTTCCTTGGTTCATGCTTCTACTGTGACACTTATCTCACTGTTTTATAATTAGTCGGGCATGAGTCTGTTTCCCAAGCTAGACTGTGTCTGAATCATGTCTGTATCCCCAGTGCCCAGTGCAGGGCCTGGCATAGAATAGGTACTCCATAAAAGGTGTGTTGAATTGAACTGCGTCTGCCTCCTCCCCCGGGTCAGGCGAGAGCCTGACCTACCTGCAGAGACAAGCACCACCGCGGTGAAGAGGCCCAGCTCCTCCTCGGTAAGCGCCAGGGAGTTGAGCTTCTCGCTGAAGTCGAACATGGCATTGAGCAGGTCTCCCATGCCCATGGCACCAAGCTCCTGCAGGCTGTAGGTGGTGCGGCTTAGGAACATCACTGTCTGGTCCTTGACGTTGAACAATGATGCAAAGCGCACCATCAGCACCTAGAGGGGGAGTGGGAACAGTCAACCTGGGTGGGGTGGGAGGAGCACTGACCAAATCGCCCCTGTAGTTTGCCAAAGGGTTTAGTGGTGCTGCCTTTGATTTCTCAGTAGAGTGGGGGTTGTTTCTGAATGGGCAATGAGGGAGCCCAGGTGGAAGGATGGCTTTGGGATCCAATAACGCTGAATCTGAGTGTCAGCTTTGTTATTACCTGTGACCTTGGGCAAGGCATTCACCAAAGTTAACTTGCTCTTGTCTAGAATGGGGGCAACAGTGTACCCAAGGCATTATTTCAGTGTAATGGGTTGTGATTAAATTCCAGCTGAGATGACAGAAGTCCCAGCCATCCAGAGACAGCAGCAGGAGCAGCTCAGCCCCTTCCACCAATCAGAGGCTATAAGGACAAAGATACTGGGTTCTAAAACCTTTCAGAGGTCCTGCCCACCCCAGACACCAAGGCCTACTGCTGGATCCTTCCCAAGGTCAAAACAGGAAGTGGGCCAGGCGCGGTGGCTCAAGCCTGTAATCCCAGCACTTTGGGAGGCCGAGACGGGCAGATCACGAGGTCAGGAGATCGAGACCATCCTGGCAAACACGGTGAAACCCCGTCTCTACTAAATAGTACAAAAAAACTAGCTGGGCGAGGTGGCGGGCGCCTGTAGTCCCAGCTACTCGGGAGGCTGAGGCAGGAGAATGGCGTAAACCCGGGAGGCAGAGCTTGCAGTGAGCTGAGATCCGGCCACTGCACTCCAGCCTGGGCAACAGAGCGAGACTCCGTCTCAAAAAAACAAAACAAAACAAAACAAAAAACAGGAAGTGGCTGGGTACAGTGGCTCACGCCTGTAATCCCAATACTTTGGAAGTCCAAGGCGGGTGGATCACCTGGGGTCAGGAGTTCGAGACCAGCCTGGCCAACATGGCGAAACCCTGTCTCTACTAAAAATGTAAAAATTAGCCAAGTGTGGTGGCGGGCACCTGTAATCCCAGCTACTCGGGAGGCTGAGGTAGGAGAATCGCTTGAACCCAGCAGTTGGAGGTTGCAGTGAGTGGAGATCGCACCATTCCACTCCAGCCTGGGCAATGAGCGAAACTCCGTCTCAAAAAAACAAACAACCAAAAAAAACAGGAAGCATAAATGGTCACTCACCTCAAAAGTGCCAGCCTTAAGCAGGGTGACTTGGTCGTGCTGAGAAAGGTCACGGAAGCCCGGGATGTGCTTGGCAAACTCTACCACCTCCCGCACAGCGGGCGTGAAGCTCATGGAGAAATCTTCCCAGATCTCCTGCACCGTTCGTCCACTGCGTCCGTGCGGGTACATGTTCATAGGACATGCCTGGGGGAGGAAAGGATTGAGGGACGCGAGTGTCAGCCAGGCTGGGTCAGATGGACGCCCCAAGCAGAGCTGGACCCCAGAGTCTGCCTGGGCTAGAGGCTGTGGCCCTGGAGGATGGGTCTGTCAGATAAAGTAGCAATTAGGTGCCAGGTGGAGATCAGGGATTCCCAGGCAGAGCCCAGACTGCAAGGCAAGACATTCTCTCCTGGGAAGAGGCTATCCCCACCTTCAGCCTCCAGGAGCCCCCAGCTGCCTTCCACTAAGTCCATTCTGCCAAGCCCCCCCGACCTTCTTAACGCACCCGCCCGCCCCCATGCCCTTACCAGCAGAACATTCTTGGAGTTACCCTGCCGGGGATTGTTGGCAGGTGCCTTGCTTTCTGGGGCTGCATACACATGGGTGGGGCATAGACGGTGCCCGTTGCTGTTGGACTGGTGGCAGCTGTGGTGTGCAGGGCCGGGAGGCCAGGTGGGAGGGTAGGAGGAGGGGGCCTGGCGCAGACCATTTAGGGCCTCGTTATGACGCTGGGCAGCCAAGGTGTTGTTGTCATTGGGGGCAGGTGGGCAGCCCTGATTTTCCCAGCGATGCGGGGTGGTGGCTGGAGGGCTACCTGATGCATGGTTGGCATTAAAGTTGCCAGGTGAGCTGCCCAGCTTGTCATGGGCGTAGGTGAAGATCTCTCGATGGGCCCGGGCCACCTGGGATATCACATCCTCCACTGTGGGCTCGGGGCTTGGGGATCTGGGAGGCGTCAGCTGTTGTGGGAACTGGGAGAAGCCCACCAGGGGTGAGGGGACTGGAGCAGGGGGTGGCGAGGGGCCCATGGAGCCTGGGGTGGGGTGCTGGGTGGGTGAAGTCTCCAGCGGGCACTGGCTGCTCAACTGGTTGTTGGCCAGGTTCATGGCACTCTGCATCTCAGCAAGCATCCGCTGCTTCTCTCGTTTGGGGATGCGTCCAAAACGCACAGCTGCAACAGGATGAGAACAGCGTCAGGAAGTTCTCAGCCACACTCACGTGCTTCTTTTCCTTCCTTCCTCCTGAAAGGGCAAGGCTCTGAAGGCTTGGGGTTTCACATCAAAACTAAAACCAGCAAGGCCACGCCCATCAAGGGGGTTTCCCTAGGAGGGATTGTTGGTAGGAGGTGACCTGAGGGACCAATGGGATAGAAGTGTATGTTGACCCAAGCGGATGAAGGATGGACATCCCCTGTGCAAATGTGATTCACAGTATGATGTGTCTCCATTTGTGACTTTTTTAAAGGGAAAGATTAATTCAGAAACTTTGGGCGGAAAAAAGGGGGAGGATGTGGGGATGCTGCCTCACCGTCTCGAGACATGCCCACGGAGAGACACTTCTTGAAGCGACATTGCTGGCAGCGGTTGCGATTGATGCGGACGATGGAGCAATTCTCATTCTTCAGACACCTTTTGTACTGGATATTCTGCTGGATGCTCCGACGGAAAAAGCCCTGGAGGGCAGGGGCGGTTAGTGACCACCTCCATCATGGCTGGGCCTCTGTGTCCAGGGGGAGGGGGCCACCTGCCCCTGCCCTTACCCCCAGTCCGCCTCACCTTGCAGCCCTCACAGGCGTGCACGCCATAGTGGAAGCCCGAGGCAACGTCCCCACACACTTTACACAGTAACACCATGCCATTCAACTCTGTGAAAGAGACGGGCAGCAGGTGAGCAGGAGAGGCCAGGCTGAGTGGCCAGAGGTGTGGAAGGCTTTCTGGGCTGGAGATCCAGGGAGGGAAAAGCTGAGGAGGAACTCCAGTGCTGAGGGGCACTGGAGTGACAAGACTGGGCTGAAGAGGGGCTGGTGCCACTCTAGGAGAAATCCCTGAAGCCAGAATAGGCCCTGGCGAGACTGGTGTCACATAAAAACCCATTCCCAATCTGGCCCTGGCCTGCTTCCCTTCCCCCGAATCAGCTGGAAAAGTACTCACTGGTGATGTTGCTGCTGCTCTTGCTGGGGGACACTCGGCTGCTGTCCTCCATGGCCACTTGTAGACTCCCTGGGGGGCTCCCATTATAGAAAGAGGAGGATGACGACGAGGAAGATGAGGAAGAAGGGGAGCCATCATCACTCAGGCTGGCTGCAATGCTCCCAAAGGAGCGAGCTGGGTCTTGAGTGAGGGAGCCAGTGGGGGACGGTGGGAAGTACGTGGGACAGCCTTG